AGATATTATTTTGTCCTCTCGCTGCTGGACGAATACCAACTGGCAGACATTTATGTCCTTTTTTATAGAATTTGATGCCTTTAGGCTGCAGTGTTGGAAAAGAGTGCTGAAGATCCCACGGACTGCCAAAAGAACAAACAGATATGTCTTGGACAAGGTACAGCCAGAGTGCTCCTTAGAGGCAAAAATAACAAAGCTTCATCTCTCACACTTTGGACATGTTACTAGGAGAGGTTATTTCTTAGAGAGCAATATCAGACTTGGGAAAGTGGAGAGTCAGTGAAAGAGAGGAAGACTCTCAGCTAGGTGGATCAATACAGTGACCGCAGCAATGATGGGCATGAGTACGTCAGAGACGATGAGGATGGCATAGGATCGGACAAGGTTCAGATCCATTGTTCATAGGACTGCTGTGAGTCCTGCTTGACTTGATGGCACCTAACAATACCACCGACAGCCTTGCCTTTTGGACTCCTTATAAATGTCTCTCCTCAAACACCAATCTAGTTTTATCTTTTCTTGCCCCTAGATGCTCATCTTCCCCACACCCCTGCCCTCAAGCCGTTAATTCTTGTCGATAACTCTAGAGAGAGCTGGCTTAGGGTGGCAATTCTATCTGTGGATCTGATCATTGCCTATTACTTGCTTTGAAACGCACCTCAAAATATTCTGATCCCCGACACCCCTGGGTTCCATTGTTGTCTTCTGTTTTCTTAGAATCTACCAATATGTTTAATCTATTTGTTTTGTTTTGACACTTTTTCTCGCTCTTTTATGTGTTCTTTTTGTTTCCTATAATTCATGGTTTGGGTGCAAACCTATTATCTCTCAAGCTAACACAAAGCCTTTTTTAACTCAAAGTGTCTGAATCTTTTTGAGGTTTCATTGATCTGAAGTTGGGATGCTGTCCACTGGCATACTCGTTCATTTGGCTGAAATCTGTGGAGTGTCTATTTTGGGTTAGCACCATGCTAGGAGAGAAAGACCACCACAGCCCCACACTTCCCAGGAGTCCATGGATCCACCTGGGAAGATGACAGTTAATAGAGCAATTTCCAACCCTATTCCTGACCCTCAAGAAAGACTGGTAACATACAACTACTGGCCTCATCCTATCTGGAGCCAAGGAGAGAGAAAGAAAACCAAAGATTCCAGGAAGCAATTCGCCCACATGACTAATGCTTCACACAAATCTCAGCTCCTCCAACATGAGACCAGAACCAGCTACCATGACTCTGGCCAAGGACACAGTAGAAGGGACCAGATAGAAGAGGAAAATATGGAACAAACTTCACATTCATAAAGACCAGAATCACCAGACTGATATAGTTTGGAGGAACATCTAGCTCCTCATCACCCTAATACACTCTTAACTGAGAGCAGAAGCCATTTCTGGAGGCCAACTTTCAACCAAATAATAGATTGGCTTGTAAAAGAAATAATGGCCCCTGTTAGAAAAGTGCTCCTTAAAACAATCAACTGTATGAGACCAGACAGAAAATATGTCCCCAGCAGGAATAGGAGAAGGCAAGGAAGGACAGAGAAACAGTAGCAATGGAAACAGGGATGGCAGAATGGAGATGGGGAGAGTGATGACGTATTTCAGGGATAGCAACCTATGTCTTGGGGCAATTTGTATATGAGTTGTTGAGTAGGAAAATAATTTGCTGTGTAAGCCTTCACCAAAATACAATCAAATGGTCAAAGAAGAAAAGACCTCATAAAATGAAGCTTTCTTTTAAAGAGGGGACATGAATAATGAATATACTATGGAGCTCCTAACAGAAAATGAGATTAAACTTAAGGAAGGCAAAAATTGAGTAACATCTTGAAGCAGAAATGGGAGTTCATCAAGGGGAAGGGGGCTAGGTGCATTCTGAGAGGCGGGAAGCAGGCTGGGCAAAGGGCAAAAGTGTGAGAGGACGCAGAGCAGGAGAAGGAAGAAGAAAGACCCAGGGTGAGGTGGAGAGAGATGTGGTGGCAGGTACTCTGCACATGAGATTTCACCTTTCCTATTGGTGAGTGAGTGGACGCTGAGGGTAGTTGGTCTCAGTAAATACTTTTTGAATGGATCAAAGCATTAATGAAGCACCTTTCAAAGTATTTACAGAACAAATATTTCAAGGCTCTTAGAAACACTCAAACTTTGAAATACTGAGCCTTGTCATGGCGTTACAATCAAAAGAGCATTAGGTTGGAAGAGACCCAGCAGGAGCAAAGAGGTAACAACTCCAACCTTGGGGCAGTCAGTACATATGGGGAAACAGCCAAAGAGCTTTCTTGAAATCCTTAAACGTTTAAAGCATATTTAGCTGTAAAAGTAGAGAATTGTATGGGGCGGGGGGTGGAAATCCTGTGTCTTTCTCTCTTCCTTACCACCACCATTTCAGATTCTCTCATACAGAAGCCCCGTAGTTGGCTTTTAAACTTAGCATGTTTGGGTATTGTAGATGCTTGTGTGTTTTTTGTTATTATTTTGCTTTGTTGGTTGGTGTTGTTATATCCAGGGAAAAGAATGTCAGAATTGGTTAGCCTGCTGCTATACTTGGCTAATTAAAACTTTGGAGAATTGTCCTTTTTCACGGGGACATTTTTGTGATGTAACAGAGTTCATTTTTATATTTAGAGCTGGTGTGATTAGCATATTCGTTCTGATATGTTTTCTTAAAACTGTTCACACTTGCACATGTTCTAGCAAAGATAAATTTAAAAGCAAAATGAAAGAGGAATAGATATTCTTAAGGTTCAAGTGATTCACTTGCATTCCTCATTTAGATAAACATTTACTAAAGCAAATTTTAATGTGCTCATTTAAAAATATGATAAAATTTATAAAGAAAATTATAGAACTAGCCTTTAACTAACTCATTAGTGAAATAAATGAATAATCATCCATCAGGCAATACCTGGCAAGTGGCCATAGGACTTCTGGGTTCAGTCACCCTACAAGACTTGGAGATATTAACTCGAGGGTTTCACTGCATTCAACGTCAGATGAACTGGGTGTCATTCCCCCATGTACTGCTGACTGAGGGCTGTTAGGAAATTATCCACTTCTCTGATGCTTTATCTTCTGATGTATAGTTTGTAAATACAGTTCATTCAGAAGGTGTAGAATAGATAAAATAATGAAATAGACATTTTTTCAGGGAATCATGCTGCTGATTAAGGATTTGTAAGAATATTAAAGGGCAATCAAGATGAGAGAGGTAAGGTTCTGTGATGAGAGTGAGCACTCTTCGTTGTTTGTGGGGAGATGGGACTGAGTCTTCCTTGGGGATATGGGTCCATCCATTCAGGGATCCTTGCCTCAACTGCTGTGGGGCCATCCCAGGGGCCAAACAGGACAAGAGACTTTGGAACACAGATCTACAAGCAGAGAAAAGACTTTCTCAGCTTTCTGCAAGAGAGAGGACTGACTTGAGATACCCTCCAACTCCTGCATGCAGGTTGCTTGAGCTGGAAGCTCTGATCTCTGCTCTCCTGCCACTCCAGAGACAAAGGTAGACATTAAGCTTCAGGAAAAAAGGCACATGAGAAACAGCTTGAGTCCAGCATATGGTCTCACACCATTCAACCATTTCATACACAAAAGAGGACAATAGAGTTGACAACAAGGGACTACATTAAGGCAAAATTCCTACAGGACTGAAGTGCAGAACAGAGAGAACCTCAAGGACTTTATTGTTGTGTGCCATCGAGTTGCTTGCAACTCATAGCAACCCTGTGTACAAAAGCACTGAACTCTGCTCTATCCTGTGCCAACCTTATTGTCTCTGCCACAACTATCCTCATTAACCCAGTGACTGAATCAATCCATCTCATCCAGGGTCTTCTTGTACCAAAAGTGTTGACTTGTAGATCCAAGCAAACTAAAGCTGTTAATAATCTCAATCTCTTCACTGTATATCATGATACTTTCCATTGGTCCAGTGGTGAAAAACTCTATTTTCTTGATGTTGAGCTTCAATCCATATTGAAACCTTCAGTCCTTGCCCTTCTGCAGCAAGCACTTCAGATCCTCCTCAGTTTCAGCAATCAGGGTTGTGTCATCTGCATAACGAAGACTGTTGATGAGTCTTCCTCCAATCCAGATACCACACTTGTCCTCATAGAGCCCATCTCCCAGATGATCTGTTCTGCATATCTTTCTCAAGGATTTGAAGAAAGGCAAATTTTCCCAGAAAGAACTTTGAATAGAGTGAAAGGCTCACCCCATACATTAAACATTTTAACTTGGAAACTAATGTCATAAAGATAAGATATGTCATAAAGATAAGAACCAACAACAACTTACACAGATGCAATTGAAACATTTATCAAGAAAAGCTTTGCATGTCAAGAAAGCAGCAGGCAGCTTCAAACACTGTGACAAAACAAACTCAGCCTTTTCCAAGAAAAGTGGAGAATATTGCAGACCTCATGAACACCCCAGACTCAAGAAGGTAGATGATACATGTTGATAGAGAAAGATTAAAATAGCTACAAATGAAAGTACAGGTGATGGAAGAAACAATGGAACCAACAAATAAAAGGAATAACCTACAGGTTCTATTGATGGAGAGTTATTTGAACAGCTATGGAAGAAAGTGCAAATGATGGAAGAAACATTGGAAATCACTAAAAAAGAACATAGTCCCGAGACACAGAGCCAGAAGAAATATACTGATGAGGAGGAACTTGAACAACTGTGAAAGAAAATGCAAAAGATGGAAGAAAGAATTGAAACTATAGGTAAAGAGGTGCTTGTTGATGTTTTTGTTAATTGCCACCTAGTCGAAGGTGACTCATGCAACCCTATGAACAAAAGACTTGAAGTCTTTCTGTAATTATCATCATTTCTCAAAGTTCATAAAGTTTCCAGAGACATGCTGTTTAGGAAGTGGATACCATTCCTGCTTCCGAAAAGAGGTACTAGAACTTAAAAAATCATGACAACTCACTTTCCTCTTTCTTTTCCTCCACCATCATTTATTGTATGGCTCTGTTTTGTCTTCATTATGTCTTCTCATAAGACTTTCAGGATCAAGAGGTTTCTGGCCAAGAAACAAAAGCAGAGCCATCCTCAGTGGATTAGAATAAAAACTGGCAATAAAATCAGGTACAACTTCAAGAGAAGACATTGGAAAAGAACCAAGCCGGGTCTCTAAGGAGTCGCACGCATGATAGCAGCACTCATAATGATCCTCTGCTCATTACAATTGTACTATGTTCAGTTGACCAGCCATATCACCTTTAAAATTATGTGGCAATCTGATCACCCATTGAGCACATGTGATTTTTATGCAGCCAGTTTTTCAATAAATATGTGAGACCTGTGGTGTAAAGAGAGTACCAGAGCAATGTGTTTCATTAACTATGCAAAGGCTTTTGACTGTGGGGCCACAACAAACTGTGGCTGACTCTGAAGAATGAGAATCCCAGAACACTTGATTGTGCTTACGTGAAACCTATACTTAGACCAGGAGACAGTCATCAGAAGAGAGCAAGGAAACACTTCGTGGTTCAAAATTGGGAAGGGTTTGCATCAAGGATATGTCCTGTCTCCTTATCTTTTCAATCTATATGCAGAGCAGATTATCCAGGAGGCTGGGCTCTGTGAGTGTGACATCATGATTGGAAGTAGACTCATCAACAGTCTGCATTATGCAGATGACACAACCCTGCTTGCTAAAACTGAGGAGGACCTGAAGCACTTGTTGCAGAAGGTCAAGGACTGCAGCCTTCAATACGAATTGAGGCTCAACATCAAGAAAACAAAGATTCTCACCACAGGACCAACTGGGAGCATCATGATGGATGGTGAAGAGATTGAGATTGTTGACAGCTTCAGTTTGCTTGGCTCTACAATCAACACTCTTGGTATCAGCAGCCAGGAAATGAAAAGACAAATTGCATTAGGAAAGTCTGCTGTTAGAGACCTCTCCAAAGTACTAAAGAGCAACGGTGTCAGTTTGGAGACTGAGGTGTGCCTGATATAGGCCATGGTCTTTGCAGTTACTTGGTATGCATCAGAAAGCTGGACAATGATGAGGGATGATAGGAGAGTTGATGTCTATGAGCTATGGTTCTTGAGAGGAGTATTGAATATACCATGGACTGCTAGGAGAACAAACTAGTTCGGCCTGGAGAGAGTGAAGCCAAGCATCTCCTTGGAGGCAAGGATTCTGAAGCTTCATCTGACATACTCTGAGCATGTTGAGGGACCAGTCCTTGGAGAGAGGGACATCATGTTTGAGAGGGTGGAGGGACAGTGCAAGAGTGGAAGACCCTTTATGACATGGATCAATTCAGTAATTGGGGTAATGGGAGTAGGTGTGTCAGAGACAGTGAGCTTGGTACAGGATAGAGTAGGGTTTAGGGCTTTTGTATATAGGGTCACTATGAGTCACAATCAAATCAAAGTACATAACAACAACAACAATAGTATAAAAAAGCCGTCACAAGATAGAGAGGGTACAATCAACACAATACTGAAAATAACAGACATGCATGAAAATACAATCCAGAATATTAAGACTGAAATTGCAGAAGTGTTAACATGCTTGAAAGCCAAGTAAGTAGAACAGAAGAGAACAAGCAGAGACTCAGGAAGCTGGAAGGCAAGAACATCAATGGAAACAAACGAGAAGAAAAATCAGAGACGAGAAATAAAGAAAATAAAAAAAAATTAGAATCATGTAGGATGACATCAAACATAATAATACACATATGATTGGAATTCCAGAATATGGGATGGATAGGAAAATCACTGAGCAAATTGCAGAAGAGGTACTAGAAGAAAACTTCCCATGTATTATGAAGAATAAGGTAATCCACATTAAAGAAGCTCATCAAGCACCAACTAGACTTGACTCAAAAAGGAAAACATCAAGACATATCAGAGTCAAATTCTCCAAAATAAAAGATAAGGCTAGGATACTGAAAGAAGCACAAAAAAACAGTCATCTACAGAGGAAAAGCAATTGGAGTAACTTCTAATTTTTCAGCAGAAACCATGTGACCAAGAAGACAATGGGATGACATATACAGTAACTTGAAAGAAAATAATGATCCTGTACTCAGTAAAGCTCTCCATCAAATAGGAACAAAAAATCACATCCTTTGCAGAAAAGAAGGAACTTAAGGAATTTGTGAAAACAAAACCAAATACATAAGAATTTTTAAGGAAAGTTCATTGCATAGAGACACCAAAGAAAAATGGATGGACCATAATAACAAGAAACAGCAACAAAAAAAGAAACACTAAATGTTGCAAAATCAAAACAATAAAACCTGTCAATACGACATTTAATGTCAATGGAGTAAATTCACCAATCAAGAGAAAAAGAATAGAAGAAGGGATAAAAAAACAAAGTCCATCAATATGTTGTCTATAACAGACATATCTAAGAAATGAAGACAAAGATAGACTCAAAATCAAAGCCTTGAAAAAAATATACCAAATAAATAGAATCCACAAAAAAGCAGGAGTGGCAAAAAAACTCTCTAATAAAAACATATTTTGGAATGAAAACTGTCATAAAAGATAAGGAAGGGCACTCACTATATAATGATTAAAGGAACAATATCTCAAGAATATAACATTGGTCTATGCACCAAATGATAGACGTGCTAAATACATAAAACAACTATTAACAGGATTGAAGAAAGAAATAGCACCAAAATAAATAGTGGCAGGAGACTTTAACACACCACTATCAAAAGATAGGTCAATTCAAAAGAAATTTAACAAAGATGCAAGAGATCTAAATTATACATTCAGCCAACTTGACCTTGTGGGTGTATTCCAAGTACTACACTCAACTAAAAGTCAATTCTCTTTCTTCTTAAGTGCACATGGCATATTTTCCAGAATTGATCACATACTAGAGCACAAAACAAGCTTCAACAAATTAAAAAATATTGAAATTATACAATGTACCTTCTCAGACCACAATGACATAAAACTAAAAATTAACGACAAGAGGATAAAGCTCATAAAGTCACCAATGTGTAAGCTAAATAACATCCTTCTAAAACATGATTGGGTTATAGAATAAATAAAGAATTAATTAAAAAATTTCCTCAAAACAAATTATAATGAAAATACAACATTCAAAAACTTCTGGGATGCAGCTAAGGCAGTCCTCAGGGGCCCATTTATAGCAATAGGCAAAACCATAAAATAACCAAGAAAGAAGGAAAGCTTATAATCTACCTCAATATCTTCATCAAATAGAAAAAGAACAATAATCTAACCCCACCATTTCTAGAATAAAGGAAATTTTAAGAACAAGAGCTGAAATCAATGAAATAGGAAACAAAAAAACAATTGAAATGATCAAAATTTGGAGCTGGTTTTCAAAAAAAAGTCAATAAAATTGGCAAAATTTAAAAAGAAGGGAAGGGGAATACACTAATAACTCAAGTAATTAATGACAGATGTGACGTCACACAGAATCAGAAGAAATTAAATCTATAATATCAGAATATTATGAAAGGCTCAATATCAGCAGTGAAAACCAGGCCGGGTGCTGATTGTGGGACAGACCACCAACTACTCATATGCAAGTTCAAGCTGAAGTTGAAGAAAATTAAATCAAGTCCATGGGAACCAAGATTTGACCTTAGGTCTGTCCCACTCGAATTTCAAAACCATCTCAGGAACAGGACTGAGGCCTTGAACACAAATGAGAAGAGACCAAAGGAGCTCTGGGAGGATATAAAGAAAATCCTCCATGAAGAATGCAAAAGATCATTACAAAGGCTGAAGAAGAAGAAAAGACCAACATGGATGTCAGATGAGACTCTGAGTATTACATTAGAGCGCCTAGAAGCCAAAGCTAAAGGAAGAAATAAAGAAATTAAAGAACTGAACAGAAAATTTCAAAAGGCAGCTCGGGACGACAAAGCAAGACACTATAATGAAATGTGCAGAGAGCTGGAGTCAGAAAATCAAAAGGGCCAAACTCACTCAGCATTTCTTAAGCTGAAGGAGTTGAAAAAGAAATTCAAGCCATGGATGGCAATACTTAAGGATAGTTGGAATTGGCTGACACAGAGGAATTTCATGAAATAACATATGAGCAAGAGCCTATGGTGATGAAGGAAGAAATTCAAGTTGCTCTGAAGAAATTGGCAAAAAACAAGTCTCCAGGAGTTGACAGCATACCGATTGATTTATTTCAACAAACAGACACTGCCCTGGATGTGTTCATTAAGTTTTGCCAAGAAATCTGGAGGACAGCCAGCTGGCCATCTGACTGGAAAAGATCAATATTTGTTCCCATTCCAAAGAAAGGTGACCCAACAGAGTGTGGAAATTTTCGAACACTACCATTGATATCACATACAAGCAAGATTCTGCTGAAAATTATCCAAAAACATTTGGAAAATTATGTCAATAGAGAACTGCCAGATGTGCAGGCTGGATTTAAAAGAGGTCATGGTACTAGGGATATTATAGCTAATAATGGATCTTGGCAGAAAGCAGCGAGTACCAGAAGAATGTCTATCTGTGCTTCATTGACTATGCAAAGGCCTTTGACTGTGTGCATCACAACAAGCTATGGCTAACTCTGAGAAGAATGGGAATCCCAGAACATTTTATTGTGGTAATGCGAAACCTATACTTGGACCAAGAGGCAGTTGTCA